TCGACGGTTGGACTCGATGATCTTAGAGGTCTTTTCCAACCTCAATGATTCAATGATTCTATGACAGTTGCCATTATCTCCACATGGATTGAAACTCATCAACACTGCAGAACATTTTGTAAAATAAATTTCAATGATAATACTAGAGATTATTCAAATCATGCATTGACCAGCATTGGACCTAATTCAGTAAAAAGGATTAAATATCTGAACAATTCTTAAAACTGGAAACCATGCTCCAAGGAGACTCCTTTGTAGTTTATTTCACATAAGTTGTATCTAGATGGGTGGAAAAAATGCATTAGTGTACACGGAATTACCACTGCCAGTATTGGTGAGGAAATAATGAAAAGGTGATTGGCATAAATCATTCAGAAATCTTATTACACAATTCTGATCCATATATTAGATTGACTGGCATTCCAGAGCTGAGAAGTACTAAGGTCAGACTTACTCTGGAGCACTGTATTTCTTTTCACATTGTATTGCAAACAGAAAGTAGAATTCTCATCCCACAGGAAATTCCAACATTTTGACATTTATTTTCAGTGCAAATAAAAAACATACTGAGTTGGAATCACTGAAACTCTTATATGTGATAGTATAGGAATATCAAAATAATGTAAATATCATACAAGTTGAAATGAAAGGAATAAAATGCCAATATAAAATATTTCAACATTGCCAGAAAGAAATAAGGTAAAATTATTCATTTTGATATTTTCTCCATCAAATTTAATCTAAATCAACGTATTCACTTAAGATGAGTCATTTTTGATGAAATTGCATTGTCTAGATAGAAAATTGTATTTTTTTTTTTTCAGCTGGCTCTCATTATTAAAGATTGATCAGATTGTAAAAGTGTTGGGAAAAAACCATCAAGAATTCAGCTTTGGCAAACTTATTATATTGAGAGTAATTTTGATTAAAGTTTCACAGTCCACAAGAAGGAAAAGCAAATAGTCACAGTAATTGTCAACCATATTCAAAGGACTTACAGGTGGCTCTAAAGTGACTTCATAAAAGACAACTAACTGAATTGCTAACGTGAATATGAGCATGTGAACACAAGTTCTGTCGTCTTCCTCTGCAGGTTCTGTGGTTATTCACCCTCAGTAGCAGCCCGTGCTTTGGTCACTTCTCCATTGTCATCCTGCATATGATGATTTAGCGCCTCTCTTGTACCAGCTTGCCAGTGTCCAATTTACCGTCTTGTCAAGGAACAGATATGTTTGTGTGTCCAACTTTCCATTTTCTATCATTTCAAATTTAGCTCCTGCACCTTGTTTCTATGGCCTTACATATCAGCTTGCTTCTCCCCTTCTGTTCTCATTGTGATCCCTTCATTCA